CTGTTCCACGGGAGAAAGATGAGGCTTTCTGCTCCTGTAAAGATTTACAGCCTCGGAAACCCTGTACAGGGTCGCTATGGGTCGGAACTGACTTGACAGCACATAACAACAACAACAACATATAAACAATAGGGCCCTGGTGTGGTGCTGTAACATAAGCACTAGACTGCTAACCACAAGGCTGGAGATTCAAACCCACCAGCAGCTCCTCAGAAACCCTATATAGGGTTCCTGTGAGTTGGAACTAACTAGAAATACTGTAACAGAGCACCTTAATGTATTCGTTTTTTATATAAATTTTTGTTTTTCTTGTAATTAGTTATTACATCTTTTTGTCTGTTTGCTTGATTTTCCTTGTTCAAACTCACCAACCACTCCTTGGAAACCCTATACAGGGTTTCTATGAATCAGAACCGACATCCAGCACTTAACAACAGTAATAATTAGTACTCTTATCCTCAGATTCTGACAGGAGTATGAAACAGCTGTCAGCAAAATTAATCTCATGGAGTGCTAATCTTACTATGTTTTATTTGGCGTGTCCTTCCTGGAGCTCCCTTCTTAATGCTCCCATCTGGCATGTTAGTGTTCTTAGCCAATATCCTAGAACTTCCCTTCTTTCTCTTCTGGGTTGCATCCCCTCACTTCTTTCTTGCTGCACTATTTCCTTGTTTTCATGGTGCAGATTCCCCAGCAACTTTCTCATAAAGAGTGTGTGGGAGGTAGATCATTTGGAGCCATTTGTGTCTGAAAATGCTTTCTTTTTTCTGTTTCGTTTTGTTTTTTTGGGGTAAATACTGCAGAACTGACGCGTTCTTTTCACCACATCCTATCATGTGTGACTTATTACTAAGACTTGCTACTAGCAGTACTAACCTTGATCACTTGGTTAAGGTAGTGTCTGCCTAGCTTTTCTATTATAAAGTTACTATTTTTTTCCTTTCCTTAATCTGTTTGTTAGAAGTCACAAAGTCAAGCTCGCTCTCAAGGGGAATTAAAATATATCTCCTTCTGGTAGTGTAGAGATTACAAGTCGGGCTGCCAACCTCAAGATCAGCAGTTCAAAATTACCAGCAGTTCCATGGGAGAAAGATGAGGCATTCTGCTTCCATAAAGATTTAAAGCCTCAGTATGAGTCAGAACTGACTCCATGGTGCTTAACAACAATAAGAAGAACTCCTTAAAGGAAAAATATCAGAGAACTTATGAACACATGTTAAAACTGCAGTAATAAATAAATACTTTGTAGGAGACATCTTGGGGCTATCCATCTGTTATGCTTATCCTGAAGTTTTACCTACTAATTTTGGCATTCTTTAGTGGATCTTGTCTATAGCCATTATTACTGTGGTATTTTCATGGTGATCTTCTATTGGCCTCATCCCCATCCCTTCTACATTTATTATTTTTAATTTTTCTATAAAGAAGATTTGACCCTTTTCCTTCATTTATCTACTACTTGTTAAGTGCCATCAAGTCAGTTCTGACTCACAGCAACCCTGTGTATGGTTTCCTAAGGGTGGCTAGTGAGTTTGAACCGCTGACCTTGAGGTTGAGTGCTTATTTGATGGACCCACATCAGAACTCATTTATTTACTTACTTATTTACATCAGCATGGATTTATAAACATTTACATTTCTCCTTGGGTTATACTCTAATACTATAGTCATTTATTTTGTTGCTCAAATTGTTCCACCTTTGGCCACCAAAGGTCTGTCAGGCTGGTTCCTGTATCTTTTGACATGCCCCAGTCTTTTTCTTTCTTGGGAGAGTGGGGGGCATTTCCTTACCTTCTTGCGCTATAATATGTTATAGACTCGTATTTTCCCTGCCCTATGCTGAGAATCAGTCAATTTCCCAAGGATCCTTCACTCTCTTTATTGGAGAATGGTACCTGTATTTATTTAGAAAGCATGACCTGGGTGCTAGGTGTGTTTCTTCAATCTTGACTGCCAGTGTAGTTGTGTATAGAATTATGTTGTTGTTGTTGTTGTTACCGACTCATAGAGACCTTATGCACAACAGAATGAAACACTGCTTGGTCCTGCGCCCACCTCACAAACGCTGCTATACTTGAGCCCATTGTGACAATCCATCTTGGGGGTCTTGTTCTTTTTCACTGACCCTCCACTTTACCAAGCATGATGACCTTATCCAGGGACTGGTCCTGCCTGACAGTATGTCCCAAGTATGAAAGATGAAGTCTCCCATGCTGGCTTCTAAGGAACATTCTGGCTACACTTCTTCCAACACAAGATTTGTTTGTTATTTTGGTTGCCCATAGTATTTTTAATATTCTCCTCCAATACCATAGCTCAAATGCATCAATTCTTCTATAGTCTTCCTTATTCACTGTCCAACTTTTACTTGCACATGAGGCTACTCAAAATACCATGGCTTGGATCAGGTGCATCTTAGTCCTCAAACTGACATCTTTGCTCTTCAACACTTTAAAGAAGCAAATTTGCCTAATGCAGTATGTTGTTTAATTTCTTAACTGCTGCTTTCATGAGTGTTGATGGCTGATCTGAGAAAAATGAAGTCTTTGAAAACGTCAATCCATTTATCTTGATGTTATTTACTGGTCCAATGGTGAGAATTCAGACTTTCACTTACTCGTGGTGTTCAGTTAGGTGTTTCATCTCCATGCTAGTGTTTTCCAGGCTCGAGACTTGTTCAGTTTCTGCAGGGTTAGCCTCCCAGCTTTCAGGGGCGAGAGACGGTGATTTGAGGGTCTAAATGCTCCTTAAACACTATTTTTAGTCAAATCCAGAAATACCAAGTTAAGAGGTACCCGCTACTTCCACTGCCTGAGCCTTTCTGCATTTTAGGGTCCAAAGTTTCAGGCTGGCTTCCCAACTTCACCACTGTGGTGGGTTTGAACTGCCGACCTTGTAGCTAGTAGTCCAGTGCCTATCTTACAGCACCAAATCAGGTGTCCAGACATATATAATAATGACCTTTAAAAAGTTTTACATTTCTAATGGGACAAAGCTATGAAAACTGCTTAGATATAACCAAACACAGGGAATGAGTTGCTGGGCCTGGGGGTCAGGACCATAGTCTCAGGGAATACCAGGGTCAATGGGCATAACACAGTTCACAAAGATAATGTTCTACATCCTACTTTGGTGAGTACTGAGCAGTGTCTTAAAGCTCATGAGCAAAGTCCTGGAAGAGTGGAAGAAAATGTGGACCATTTAAAATCATTAAAAAAAAAAATTCCAATAAAACAAAAACTAGGCTTACTGGTCAGATAGAGACGGGTGGAACCTAAAGCTGGTTCTTGGTCATCCTTAAGGTCTGGAACTAAACTCACCACTGTAGTTCAAATTCCAGCCAAATAAGAGATATGGGGGTGGGGTGTGGGGTGGCAGCAACAGCACTGATTAAGTAAGCCCACCACAGAGTGGTCAACCATTTGAGATCAAAAGGGAAGCATTTACATAAGGACAAAGTTCAAAAGGGTTAGGACAGAAGGAGGACTAGAACAAGAAACAAAGAGAGAAAGTGGGATAAGTAACGTTCCATTGAGGGGAATTCAATGAATGAATGACACCAAATGGGCATGAATTATTGCAATATCAAATTGATGAGCTGCTGTGTAAACCTTCACCCAATTCACAATAAAAAGGAAAACCCCCCACATTTTCAATTTCTATATTTTGGAGTCCTGGTGTGGCGCTGTAGGATAAATAATGGACTGCTAATCTCAAGGTCAGTGGTTCAAGCCTATTAGTTGCTGCGAGTCAGAACTGACTTGATGGTACTTAATAATAATAACAACAAGAGAATAATACTTTTGACTTAGATAATATTAATATCAGTTTATTGAAGAAACATTATTAAACTTACTTTTGTGGCCAGTAGGTTAAGCCTAAGGAGTGTAGCCAAGACTCAGGAATAAAAGCCCATACAAGATACAGTACTATAGAAGACAGAAAAAAGAGAGAAAGAGAAACGTCAGTAAAGCATGCAGCCAATCTATCAATATTCAGATAAAACAAAAAGCTCCTTTGAAGCTTTCTCTGATTCATTTAGAAATGATTTTTCCCTCCTTTCAATTCTTGTAACTCTGTATCTGTACCATTCTTATAATGTTGTTGCTTTCAGGTGCTGTTGAGTCGGTCCTGACTCCTAGCAACTCCACGTATGGCAGAATGAATCATGCCCAGTCCTGGGACATCCTCACAATTGTTCCTATGGTCAAGCCCATAGTTGATGCCACTGTGTCAATTCAGTGCATTGTCTTCCCTTTTCCTTGAGCCTTTACTGATCACCTTATACTACAGTTATTCTTTTAACTAACTCTCATGATTTATTTTAGGCAATTTAAGGGCAGAAGTCATACCTTAGCAATTGTTGTAATCCTTAAAATACCTAGCAATTTGCTTTGTACTTAGCAGGTGTTCAACACTTCAACCCCAGAGAGGTGGAAATAATTATGACATTTATTTTCTTAAAGATGAAGGTTTTTACCCTTGTTTGAATATGCTGCATGTTGAGTTTCTATTTTATCTCCCTGGATACAATCTGATTTCCTTTAATCCCAAACTCTATGTGATATCTTTTGCTCTTGTTCCTATGTAAAAACAATAGATAACATCTGAGCACTCACTTTGGGGTAAGCACAGTTATAAGCACTTTACATGCATTATCTCACTTAATCCTCAAAATAATGCAGAGGTATGCCATTTTCACAGACGAAAATTAAATCTTAGAAAGGTTAAATCATCTGCCCAAGGTAAGCGGCAAACACAAATTTCAAACTACTGAATGATGATGAAGAGTTGCTTAATTTTTTTCTTGAGAATATATATTGTAGATCTCTTTATGTCATGAACTTGCGATGATCCCCACCCTCCCCGAGCTTAAAATCTAGTGGAGAATTGAGGTGAGTAAAATGATGTTTCCACTACCTTGAGATAAGAGTTGATGACTGAGAGATCAAAGACAACAGGGAAGCACAAAAGAAGAACCTTAGCCAGGACAGTGGAGATGGAAAAGTGATCAAACTAAGGAGTGGAGGAAGAGTAAGAGGCAAACCAGGTTTAGAATGTATATGGTTAGGGGTTCTGTAGATGACAGAAAGGGAGGAAATGAGAGGAAATGGTATCCTCTGCCCCAATGTGCATAGGGAACAAGAATGATCTGAAGAGAGATGTGGTGTTATTAGCTGGTAGAGTCTAAGGGAAGGGGTGGCAAGGGGAAAGATTTAACATAGCTCTTGAAGTTAATATAACACAACCATAGGGAAACAATATAAATGCATAAGTGGAAATTATTTACTTATTTCAACTAACTAAATGAATGAATATTTATTGAATGTCTACTATGTGCCAGACATTATGTAACGGCCAGCTCTGTAAAGAAAAGTAAAACACAGTCCCAATTCTCAGGGAACCCACAAACTACGCTGAGAGACAGAGATAAGATAAGTGTAGTGGCAGGAACATCATATTTAGTAATTTATGTAATCTCAAAATCCTTTTGAGGACCCCACTGAAGAGTTCTCATCTTGTCTAGATGGGTCTGGTGAAAAGATATGGGGATAAGATTCTTATGATTCAATAGTAAGTAACTGTTGTCATGACTAATTGAGACTGTCACAGTTGTAAAGGTAGAAGTTCTGTAACAAAAAGGGGGGAGTAGTTAATCTTATAATCCAGGAACAGAGGACCCTAGGATCATCAAGGGAGAATAGCATGAGCGGAATGTGGGACCCTATTCAGAGAAGCCAGCAACACCAGAGATGGAGGCAGAGATGAGGACATAAAGAGAGGGACTGAGGTGAGGACTCTAGACTCATGGAAAGAGAGGGACTGAATGCTGGTGGCCAGGAGGCAGGCTTGCAGAATGTGCCCTTTGGTTGTTTAAATATTATATATTCTTGAGTGTTTTTGGGTACATCAAAAATAACTTACAAGTTTTCAAGCAGGAGCTTAGTTTCAGAGGGTGCGGGGGAAGGCAGAATCTCCACTGAGTGGTTTCCAACCTGTCTAGATGGGGCTGGTGAAAAGAGATGGGGATAAGACTCTTGTGGTTCAATAATGAACAACTGCTATCACAACTGTGAATGTTGCAAATGTAAACGTAGATGTTTTTGTAACAAAAGGAGGGGAGTGGTTGATCTTGCAGTCCAGGAGCAGAGGACCCTGGGACCATCAAGGGCAAAAAGCGGAGTGCAGGACCCTATTCAGAGAAGCAGCAATGCCAGAGATGGAGGCAGAGACGATGATGTTGAGAGATGGAGCGGTTGGGGACTCTAGATTCAAGGATGGACAGGGGCTGTGTTCTGGAGGCCAGGGGACAGGTTTGCAGGGTATGCCCTTTGGTTGTTTGAATGGTTATATATTCCTGAGTGCTTCGGTGTATATTCAAAAAAAAACAACCCAGAGGTAATGGAAGTAAATGCTGTTGAATGATGATGCATGGAGGGGATTGTAATCATTGCAACGAAAAGAAATCCAATAGGATGACTGTAAAGCTGATGTTCTTCCATGTAAACTATCACCCAATTCACAACAACAACTTTAAAAAAATCCTTAAACCACACACGCACAACCAAAAAAATCCTTTTGAGGAGGGAGCTATTATTATCCCTACTTAACAGATGAAAAATATTGAGGCAGGGGTAATATAAGTAATTTGCTCTAAGTTTCATAGTCAAAATCATAAAGCTGCAATGTGAACCCAGTTTGTTCATACCACACTACTTTACAGATAATTATAAAACAAGTATAATGACAAACCTAAATAAGGTAACAGAAAAGCTAGAAAAGTGCCTTAACACAAATTGGAGCAAGTAGAGTAGCTTTACTGAAAATGAAGCCTGAGCTGACTAAAATGATGTGTAGAGGTAAGCTACAGAAAGAGAGGTTGCTATAGAAAGAGATAAAGAAGATAGAAAGAACATTCCAGGAAGGAGTAAGAGTATAAATAAAAGCATGTGATGCATGAGTTTGGAAGCGACCATAAGCAGTTCAGAGTTGCTGTGAGTGTTCAGATATATAGATGGAAAAGTGGGCAGATCTCAAATAATGAACTTTATGAAAGGAGCATAAACTTAAAAACACACAGAAAACTAAAGACAGTGAAATAACCACCAGGGGTTCTAAGCAGGAAAGTTCACATTTGCATCTGAGTGGCTCACTCTGTTGGCTGTGTGAAGGATGTATATATATTTGGTGGTGATAAAACCACAGGCAATAAGAGACCCATACTCATCTGTTAGTTTGTGGTACTGTGGTAGCTTGTGTATTGCTGTGACTTGGGGAATTATACCACCAGTATTTTAAATACCAGCAGGGTCACCCATGGTGGACAGGATTTAACTGAGCTTCCAGCCTAAGACAGACTAAAAAGGAGAAAGAGACTACATATGAGTATTTAGTCACTGAAAACCTTATGAATAGCAGTGGAACACTGTAAGATAGCACCGGAATACTGAATATTGAAACATGACGAAGAGCACCAGAATATTGTCAGATATAGTGTCAGAAGATGATCCCCTCAGGTTGGAAGGTACTCAAACATGACTGGGGAAGAGCTGCCTCCTCAAAGTAAAGGTGACCATGATGATGCAAATGGAATAAAGTCTTAAGAACCTTTATTTACTGAAGGGGCACACTCAAAATGAGGAGAAACACCTGTAAGCATCCATTAATAATCATAACATAGAATGTACAAAGTATGAATCTAGGAATATTGGAAGTTGTCAAAAATGAAATGGAACATAAAATAACACCGAGGCAACAGAAACTCCATCTAGGGCCAGGAACTGTGCTGTCGCATCCCTTCCACATCCACCTCATGAGCAACATGAATGACAGGAACCCCCAGAGATTTCTCCTCTACAAGTCCAACAACTGTACTATTTGTTTTTACAAATGCAACAACTCCATAATGCCATAGAGACAACACACACAATTTTAGCTCACACAAAGAAACAAGAGAGAATGGCTGAAACAAATGACTAAAATGCAGACCAGAAAACAATTCTGAGGAAGAAAAGGTAATGGAACTAACTGAAAATGAATTTTAAAAAAAAGGACAATTAGGAATCTTCAAAGAATCAAAAGAAAGATCAAAGAAAGCAAGGAGAACACATAAAAACTTTAGAAGCATTTAGGAAAACATTACAAGAACAAACATATAAAATAAACACAAATTTTGTAACAATATAAAACTTGCAATTAGAAATCTAGATTAATACTAAGATCTCAGAAATGGATAATACGTTGAAAGGAGAAGATGTGAATCAGTGGAACCATGAAACAATGAGATTGAAGATAAATCTTTCCATACTAGTATGCTAGAAGAACAATCAGAAAAAAATGAAAAACTCAGAAGAAATTCTAAGAGTTATGTGGGACATCATGAAGAGGAACAACTTATGGGTTATCAGAATTCCAGAACAGACAGACACAAGCACAAAGAAAACTGTCTAAGAGTTGTTGGAAGAAAACTTCCCTAATATGAAATATGAGAAGATATGTATACAAGAAGCTGAACTAACCCCAAATAGGATAGATTCCAAAAGAAAATCAGTCACGTATACTATAATCAAACTTTCCAAAGTCAAAGACAAGGAAAGAATCCTGAGAGTGGCTCGGAAAAAACTAAAAGTTACCTACAAAGGAGAACCACTAAGACTAAGCTCTGATTTCTCAGCAGAAACCATGGAGGCAAGAAGGCAATTGAATGACATATACAAAACTCTTAAAGAATCATATACCCAGCACAGCTGTCCATAAAATATGATGGTGAAATTAGGATATTTCCTAATTAACAGAAATAAAGGAATTTGCAATGACCAGGACAAATTTACAAAAAAAAAAAAAAAATGCTAAAGGGTGTTCTTTGGACTGAGAATGAACAATAGGAGACAAAAACCTGAGATCACCATACATGACAATACCATTCAGA